ACCCAACGCCCGCCTCGGGGCGGCAGTTTAGAATCAAAGCAGCAAAGTCGAGGTGTGGGCGGGGAAACTGAGGTTGCGATGGGGTCTGGGGTATGCTAGGCTCTCAGGGACTCTTGGGCAGCCACTCCATAAGTATTTGTGCGTCCAAGTGTAGGGGGTTCTCTCAGCTGGCTCTGGGCCGCGTCCAACAATGCACTTCGTCCTCAGTTTTCTGTCTGTACAATGGAAATAAAAAAAGTGACCTTATTTTAGAGGGTTAGCTGAGAATCTAAAGGGATGGTCGTACTTGAGATGAGCTTGGCATAGCACCTGGTTATGAAATGCTCCCATCTCTGTCTTCCCCCTTTTCTGTCCCCTGAGCCCCAATCCAGACCCTACCCGCATATTCCGCAGCCCCCCAAGACCGTGCATTTTTTACAACCTCCCCATCTGCCCTTTCCCCGCCGAGTCCATATAGGAGGTTTGCCCAGCCCAGCCCAGCCCCCCAGTAACTTCTCATTCAGTAATACATTCATTCACTGACTCAGTATTTAAGAAGCAACAACAGGGACAGTGAACCAAAGAGATCTGAGAGAGACGGGCCGTGAACAGTACGCATAATAAGTAAATGATAAAGTGTTTTAGAAGGTGACAATGCTGTGGAAGGAGAAATAGAGGAAGCTGAGGGAGGTGCATCAGGCAGAGGGTGCGATCTGTTCAAAGGCCCTGAGGCTGGACCTTGGTGTATTGGTAGCAAGGAAGCCTGTGGTGGGGAGAGGTAGGAGAGGAAGTTAGGGAGTCAGGTGGGACAGATCCTGGGAGGCCTTGTGGATTGGGTAGGGGTTTGGCCAAAGGCATGTGGTTTGTGACCATGAACAGGGCAGATTCAAGGAGCAGGCCCGGCTGTGTGTGTTGGCTGGGTGTTTGCTGGAGGAAAGTAATTGGAGATGTGAATGCAGTGGGAGGTGGGCTGAAGGTGGAGAGGAAGCAGGTCAGGAGTGAATTTTAAGAAAGGGTGTCTGTCTGGGTTGCTGGAGTGATGGACAGATCTGGGCAGGGGGCAGGGGCAGAACTGCTGGAGCCCAAGTCGGGAGCCTGGACGGTAACTGAGGTGACTCCAGGTGCAGGCGGGCGCAGGGGGATGTCAGGTCATCTTGCTGTTGCTTGGGGCATGGAAGAGAGGAGAAAGGGCTCACACGAGTTGGGGGGACTCGGGATCCCAAGAGGCTGGCAGGGCTCAACCCCAACACCCAAGACTCAGAGCCCTGCCTGTGATTGCAAGGCCTCAGCAACAGGACATGGAGTGGTAACCTTCTCCATGAACCCCCAGACCACTTAGTGCCTAGAAATCAGGTCACCACCCACAGGCTCCTGGGTGCAGATGTAAAACAGGGCTGTGACTGTGGGAAAGTCCAGCAGCTCCTCAAACAGTTAAAGAGAGTCACCCTGTGATCCAGCACTTCCACCCTAGGGGCATATCTGTTACTGAGTCCAAGTTTGTACTGCTCGCCACCTGAGAGGCTGATAAACGTGGAGTTGACCTGTTGAGGCAAGGAAGAGTAACTTTATTTGGAAAGTCAGTGGACCAAGAAGGTGGGGGGCTAGCGTCCCGGAGAACCATCTTCCTCAAGTCAGAATTCAGGCTCCTTTGATACTAAAAAGGGGCGGGGGTGTGATTGGTTGTTGCAAACTTCTTGATGTCGGAATCCTTTGTTCTTGCAGCTGTCCATGTGGGTCAGGTCAGGATGTCCCTGTAAACCTCCAACAAGACAAATAATGTTCTCTGTTCTACAACTTTCTATTTCTGTATGAATGGAAAAGTGTTGTACCCTTAAGAGTCAGACCCTTGAGAATGGGCTCTCCTGTCTGTCTCAGTCTACAGGCAATTCTTTTACAAAAGGTGCAGAATCAGCATGACTGAGCCCAGGAAACAGAGCACTGTGTTAGAGCCAGAGGAACAGATACAATATGGAGTCAAATTTGTTTTCCCTATTACACATCCAGGAGAAATGACACTATACTCCCACGCAAACACTTGTACAGCATTACAAAGTCAAAAGGTGAAAACAACTCAAAAGCCTGTCAGTAGATAAAGTGATAAACACAACGTAGCCCATTTATATGATGGAATATTATTCACCCATCAAAAGGGTGAAGCCCTGACACATGCTACAAGCTGGATAAACCTATCATGAAAACATGATACTCATCAAGAGAAGCCAGACACAAAAGGCCCCATTGTGAGTGACTCCATTTGTGTGAAACGTCCAGAACAGGCAAATCCAGAGACAGGTTGCCAGGGACTTGAGAAGTGGATGGAGAGGAGTGACTGGTAGTGGAGCTGAGGGTTTCTTTTTGGGGTGCTGAATGAAATGAGCAAGAAACAGAAAGCCAAGTAGTGTCTGATCCACTCATATGAGGTCCCTGGAAGAGTCAAATCCATAGCAACGAAGTAGGATGGTGGATGTCGGGCTGGGGGAGGTGGGTGGGAGTGACTGCAGATGGGGATAGGGTTTCTTTTTGAGACGATAAAAATGTTCTGGAATTAGATGGTGTTGATGGTCACACAACATTATAAATATTCTAAACATCACTTAATTGTACACCTTGGTTAAAATGGTGAATTTTATCTCAAAAAAAGTTTTTTTTTCTCAAGAAGAAATCAGGCCCCAGGCAGCTCTGTCCAGGTGCCTCCTCTTGGATCTGAAAGATGTTCTGGAGAGTCTTCTGGCTGGTGGGCAACTCAGCTCCCTCTCTGGGGGACCCAGGCACCCTGGCCACCACAGAGGAGCCTCCCTGGAGCCTTGAGACTTCCCCAAGATTCCATTGCCTCACCTCAGAGTGGGGAAAGTGGGGGAAAAGCTGTGAAACCGCAGGCACAAATCCCTACCAGAGCCAGTGGGACCAGCAAGGGCAGCTCTGGGCCCACGGGCTTGGCCTCACCGCCTCTGCTCTGCTGTAACTGGCAGGCAGTCAGGAACCTGGTGAGGCCTTGCCCCATTAACCCTCGAGCCCCACGTCCTCACACCCCTTGTGCTCCACGGGGGCGTCATCCTGAGCTGTTTTTCTGGAAACCCTGAAGTAAACAACCAGTTGGTGGCCATCTTTCTGACAAAGTTCCAGATCCCAGCTGAAGGGAACAGCTGGGTCTTCCCAAGGGCCACTCAGACTCCCTAGCGTGGCCTGACACCCAGTGTCGCCAGGGGGTGGAAATGAGGGGGGTTTCCTGAGAAGGGAGGAGGCCCAGCTGGGAAAATGGAGGCTCCTGGCCAGAACTCAGCAGCCTCTGGTGACCACTGAGGCTTGAAGCCTGGTTGTGCAAGATAGGAATATAGCAACCTGGCCGGGGACCCTGTCCTCTGCCCCCAAACTCCCCTGGGGCTGGGTCTTGGGAGTTCATCGGTTCCCCCAAATGAGTCCAGCCCGGAAAGTCCTGCCCCCAAGGCCTCTGTAGAAACGTTCATGGGAGGGTCCAAGAAAAGAACGAGAAGTTGACGGGCAGCACACAAAGCTGAAACCACCCTCCTGTCCAGCCTGCAGGTCAACCTCCGGCCATGGTTAGGGCCGGCTGTGGCATTCCATGACTCAGTTCCCGAGGATGGGGTGGGTCTTCTCTCTGGGCTGTGGCCAAGTGCCTGAGCCTTGAGTGGAAATGAGTCTGGAGCCAAGGCAGCCGGGAGCTCCATCCTCAACTGCGTGCACACGCAGTGGGAAGTGACAACAGATACCTCTGGGCTCGCGTTTTCCTTTCTAAGCACACACCTGCGCGTCCTCGCGCGTCTTCTCTCGGGGGCGGGACCACAGAAGCCGAAGTGCCGGGTTAATCCGTAACTGGGTAACAGCTAACAGCCCCGCCAGGGCTCACGTGTCACTTACATAAGCAGCTAAGACGGCGGAATCCAAGGGAAGTGACACTCGGCCCTGTGCTGATGGCTCACCCTGCGGCAGGCATGCCGCTGTCCGGGGCTGTCGCCGTAAGTGACCCCCAAGCCCTCGCAGCGACACCGCAGCCCAAGTGGAGAGACACCGACACCTACCGTGGTTTTATTTACATTAAAAAGAAAATTTCCAGTTCTCAATGAGCTGGGGTGAGATTTTTGAGAATTCCAACTCGCCCCACAAGTTTCCAGTACTGTTTCAAGTTGTCGGGCATCCCATAGCACCGCAGTCAACCACCCGGATAACTGTCCGCAACCCAGAGCCTGCATGGACGCGGTCACCCGCCCGTCGACGGGCATGCGCAGTCACCGATAGCGACAAAATCGCAGGCCGGCCCCAACCCCGCCCCCGTCAGTCCTTCATCCTGACCTCCCATTGGCTAGCGCTGGCACGAGTCTGCAGCGCCTGAGCAGCCGACCAATGGGATAGCCGATGGGCGTGGCCAAGGGCGGGGAGGCAAGGCTCGCCGGCGCGCGTCCATTGGTCGGCTCGGCGAGGGGAGGAGCGCTGCCTTCCAGGCGCCCCTGCAGCCGCGATGAGCTTCAGCCGCCTGTGCCGCCTCCTGAAGCCAGCGCTCCTCTGCGGGGCTCTGGCCGCACCTGGCTTGGCCAGCACCATGGTGAGCGGGGCGCCGCCGGCTGGCTGGCGGGCCGTTGGGCGGGCGCGCGGAGCTGCGGGGACCTTGGGCTGGCGGCGCTGGCTGGGGGCGCGCGAGCAGTACTCGGCCGCCCCCTCCGCGGCGGTCGGAGCGGTGGCTAGCGCGCGGGCCTGGGTTACTGAGTCTAGATCGGGGACTGGGGGCGGCTCCCGGGAGGCCGGGTTAGGGCTAGGCGGTCGGAACCCCCGGGTGGGCGCCCCTGACGCGCAGACGCTGCTGCTTCAGGGCAGCTGAGGGTGGCGTCGTCGGCCACTAGCGACCCGCCTGCTGCCGGGGGAGCGAGGGCGCCGGATGGCCGGAAAATCCGG